ACTCAGAGGAAAAATCCTACTAAGAAGCAACTGAATGAAAGAGAAAGAATTTGCATGGCAAATATCTTGCAAACTAAAGGGCATGCCACGCTGCAGTTTGCTAGGACATCATCTAGTCCTGAACTGGCTAGCTTGTCTAATGAAGCTGCATCTCTACACAAGCATAAGGCCACCGAAAAGGTAAATGAGGTTGCCAGTTCAAGATTTGAGTACAACAGAAGAATGAGAGGCTCTGGCATGATGGAAAATCCTGTCGTGAATTGTTATGTAAGGAGACCTGCTAGTTCTACAAAACCTGTAGTTTCTTCAGGTAATGATCCAAATCAGAGACTCCAGGAGGGACAAGACTTTGTAAATCTGATGTCTTCTTCTGGGGTTCAGAAACATGGTGGGCATGCTCAGATGCCTGTGAATCTAGCTTCTCATCAGTTTGTTTCAATCCCACCTCCTTTTCCTGGAACCAGACCCCAAAAATATGCTGGCACAAGGCCATTAAATTTTGCGCCTCATCAGTCTGATTGGGGCGATGTTATGCTTCATGCTGATGGTACCTCTGTAGCACCTTCTTATCGCCAATTAATTCCTGTTGGAATCACACCTGATGAAGAAGTTAGGGGGGTTTTAAATAGTGGTTCAGCATCACTAGAAGTCAATCATCTGGATGATGACCATGGTTTTTGGACAAACAGTAAAGCTGATTTGATGAGAGAGGGTGATCATGAAAGCAAGGAGTTTTCTGTTGCTAGTTCTAGATTATCACCTACTTCTTCTGCTAATTCCTATAAGACAAAGGCAACTTCAGACAGTTCTTGGGATGGAAAACCCTCCAAACTAAACAATACAATGAGATACCCGGGGACAAAGAATGCAAATTCTTCAAAAAATCCCTCTCCGGTAGTTAAATGCCAATGGCTAAATGAGGAAGGATCTGTTGATCTTACTTGTGATGATGATGTTGATGATAAATCTGCTTCCTCATCTGTTACTTCCTCACACATGGAGGTTCATCAGTTACCTGGGTATGGGCAAGCTCATATGAACTATCCAAATTCAATGTTTCCCTTTTCTCCTTTTTTGGTACGGCCTGGTCCACAGCAGGGTATTAGTCACAATCATCCAGTCTTACCAGTTGCCTTTTATCCCGCTGGACTACCTGTGCCTTTGGTTACAATGGTACCTGTATACAATATAAGTGCTGAAACAGGAACCTCTGCAACACCTGCCAGTCATGATGATACGGATAGGGAGAAGTCTACCTTCTCCTTGACCCAGTCTAGCCATAGCTCAGATTCAGCTAATGGGCTAGAGCGGTTGAGCCGTAGTAGTAGCAATGGTTCAACAAAAAGGATTACATCCAGAGAAGATTCTGATGAGTGTGGACCTGACATATTCAACAGCGACTTTGCTAGCCACTGGAAGAATCTTCAGTATGGGCGTTTCTGTCAAAACCCACAATTTCAGCATCCTTTTGTTCATCCTCCCTCTGTATATGTACCTCCAGTACAACTTCAGGGGAATATCCCATTTGATGCTCCTCGATCACCATATTCTGGGAATTCCAGTATCTTTTCTCATCCAGTGCCCGTTTCAGAAGCACAGCAGTCAGGTTCCATTAAGCCTGCTAGTGTCTCAAGGCAATATGGTGGAGAATTTCCTAAACACCGCAATGGAACTGGAACTTATTTCCCAAATCCAGTAAGACTCTTTCCAATTGACACTATATAGGAGCTTTTTATTGTTTTTTGCTGCCTATATTAATGGTTACAAATCTTACAATGCACTTCCATGTTCTGATTTAATACTTGCCTTTTTTGCATATCATGTTTAGAACATGACTGAAATATTTTGCTTTCTTTCATCAAATTGGATCGTCGTATTATTGTGGTGTGTTGGCAGCTTTCTGTTTGGTGGTTATTAAGAGCTCATTATGTCCTTTTCTTATATAATAATCTTTAAACAAGCTTATCCATCATTTAAAGTTAATTCTGATGATACATGATAGCCACTCTTTGTTCTGTCTATAATCTTCGACTCCTTGGCCATAAGAAGTTGTTCTTTGATTTGTAAGGAGTGGATAAAGTTACATCTGGGCCATATCAGACTGTGCCTGATACTTGGATAATCATCTGGTTTCCCTATATTAGCCATAAGAACATGTTACTTTACAACTTGCATCATCATGCATCTGGTTATTGGTTATACCGTCTGTCACTACTCTGTCTTGTACTGTCAGACTTTTAGTGTAGAAGACTATGAGTTATAACTTTTGCATAATTTGTTTCAATCTATGAAAATTTTCAGAACGTTCTCAGAGATCCCCCCCAATATTCTACCTCCAGACAGTATCAAGGAGACTCCAAACATGACAGGAACGAGCACCATGGGGAGAGGGAAGCAAATTGGAATTCCAGCTCGAAGCCACGATTTTCTGGTCGTGCTCAACCTCGATACCGAAATGACAAGCCAAACTCAAAGATAGACCGGTCAGTTACTAGCTATTCCCAAACTGATAGACCTTGTGATACCTTCCGGAAAAATTCATATCAGTTGTATCGCTTCCCAAAAGATCCAGCTACTTCAAAATCTACATGGAATGGCTGTTATGATACTGATTATTCGGTGTATCAGACATGTTCTGAATACCATAATGAGGGTCCTCAATCTGGAGATGGTCGTCCCCCCTTTGTTATGCTATATCCTTATCCTCAGACCATTGCTTATGATTCCCAGATTGAACGTCAGTTTGGTTCTGCTGGACGAGAGCAAATTGTAGGAACAGAAGAGGTACAAGAGCAACTGCAAAATTACGAGGGAGATACAGGACCTCCTTCACCAGACTATGCATCTCCCCCAAGGTTCCCGCGGTAAACTGCTTACTCTGCTGCCCTTCTAAATATATATTTTGATTGTTCCAGTATTGACATGGATAGAAGTGATGTTGCATGTACACTGTACATTGCTATTTTTTCTCCTCGTGAAGTGTTTCGCCAATGGTGTATGTTACTTGACGTATCTGCTTCTATCTTTGACTCTTAATGTGATAGTCAAACTTGAGGATTGTTGATGACTCCATCCCACCAAATAGTCTACAGTATACTGTGCATATTAATCCTTAGCAGCACCGCTATCCTTGGAATAGTATCTGGCTTGGTGACATCTTTTTCTGAACTTGCAGAGCTGACGGACTTTAAATTTTTGGCCTGAATATTGAGGCGAACACATGGGTTCTCTTGCTTTGGCATCTCTTATGCCAGTTAAAAGCATATTTTGGAGACCTGCATCCACAGCCTTTTGCGCCAAACATACTAAGAAGATCTTGGATGTTAGTTGCAGTTCCTGCGTATTCCATCAGAGGGCCAATCTCTACTTGAGCTTTGCACCTAAGTCCTTAAAAAAGAGCGCCTCTGATCAACATTGGTGGAGGGATCAATTTGGACATAATTGATGTATCATCATTTTGTGTTTCCCCCGAGGATTCTCCGGAACTGGAAAATTCAGGAGTCGGGTGTCTGGTCTCAAATTCGAGGAGCTTCCATCCTAGTATAGAACAAGGTGTTTGGGAGAAACATATTCAATTAGTAATGGAAGTGTTTGCCTATTGAAATGGGCTACTTCCAGCTGTAATTTTATGTAATCTCTAAGCCACCATTGTAATGAAAGTTGCTCCAATCAGAGCTTTCAGCTACTTAACTCTCAAAGCTTCTTTGTTGCAAGTCATTAAAGTAGTGGCTACTGTATTTGGCTGCGGTACTACACCTCTCCTGTATTTAGCTGCCTTGCCTAAAAACCAAGTGATATTTAGTTAAATTTCAAAAATATTAATCCCTCTAATCCTTTTTTTTTTTTTTTTTTCATTATCATTCTTGGCACTATTTATAAGTTGAGAAAATCTTATAAATTACTCTCAATATATAAACCATAACATAGTCATGCTGGGTTTTATTTGACTCATTTTAATGAGTAATTTATTAATATTCAATTGTTATAGAAGTATATATATATAGTTTTTAAACTAATATTCAACTATAGATATTTATGGTTAGAATAATGTATTGGTAGTGCAATGAAAATAGGTAGAACATTTAGGGTCAGAGAGATTACATGTCAAAATTATTGTGCATAGTGGTGGAGTATCTTAAACACTTCGTATAAGGTTTATTTACTACCTGGAAAAATTGGCATTTGGCAAAATTAGTGATGAACATTGAAGCAAAGAAAAGAAAGGGTGGGATTTGTTTAGATTTTTTTTTTTTTTTTCTAAAGAAAATTAAAAACATTTAATCAACAAGAAATGATGTACTCCTTCCGTGTTTTAATAAATGTTGCAGTTTGACTTTTTTTACTATTTACATATTGGTTTTGACTTGATTAATTTACTAATATATAATAAATAAATGTTATTGTATATACATTGTTGGATTCGTTGTAATGTACACTATCATAAAATTAATTTTCTTAAGATTTTACTAACATATAATTAATTAGATAAAATAATGTTCGTTGTGTCTTGGTATGCGTGTTTGATCAAAGTGTAACACTTATTAAAATATGGAGGGAGTATTATGATTAGGGATGTTAATAAGACGAGTCAAGTAAGAGACACACGCTCATCAGGTCAAGTAGGAGATGGGGTTAAAGATCATACCCAGTACCCACTATGGTTGATGGAGCGAGATGGATCTTAGGTGTACCCGTCCTAGTTGGTACCCATCTCATACTTGCATTTATATATGTAAAATAAATAAATAAATAAATGTATACTTTTTACTTTCAAAAAAATATAAGTGAATTATAGTTGTAAATATAGTATTTTGTAATATATTTGTACTACCTCGTTTTATATTAATCGTAACTTTAGGGTATTACTTGTGAAATATAAAATATTCTACAATGGCAAGTAGTTCAATAAAGAAAACACCAATTGTTTAATATTAACCTTTGAAGTGAACTTTTTTTCTTTGTTTGTAATGTATAGTATGTAATATTGTTATATTTTGGAGGTGAGGATTAGGTGGCTCTTGGCCGGATTAGGTGTGTAGCGAGGTGGGGAAGGTGAAGATTATGTGGGTACGGGATATCCAAGTGGATGTGGGGGCGGGAATGGGATGAAATTTGGACCCGCGACAGAGATGAGGATGGGGATGAGAATCTTATGCGGAGATGGGGTACGATGCGAAAGCTAACATTCGTCCTGCCCCATTGTTATGATGTCAAATTGAGGCAAAATTTGCCAAAAAACAAGATAAGGTTAAAATAGTAATCGTGATGCGGTTTAAAAGGTAGTAATTGATAATTTTTGTAAGAGAATGTAGTAACTGCCAAGGTGTTCATTATACCAGATAGCAAGAGACAAATTCCTCACTTGTAATCATACTGATCAAAAGCCTTGGTGCAAGAAAACTTTGTTCATTCTATGCCAATAAAACATAGTTTGATGATGCTAAAAAGTGCCGAATTGTCAACAAAATATCAAAACATCTAACTTACTAACTAATAGCCCTGTCCTCTATCTTGCACTACTTCTCTAACTTAGTCCCTTTAAAGCTATATACAAACTACATATTTCCATTAACAATCACTTGGCCGTCATCAAAAAATCACTAGCTCAAGTGCTTGCCTTTTACTTTATGCCGAATTTTTCCTCCACTTTGCTAATCTTAGTAGGAATGTTAGTACTTCAGAAGGATCACGCAGAGAATGCGACGCCTTTGTCTCCTTGGGATTTTGTGACACTAGAATTGGAAATCCCTGTCCTCTTTTCTGTAACACCTGCAAGAACATTTTGTTTCAGTCACGCTGTTTTTTTTTCAGCCTATAAAGATGCAGAATGTCGAATGTTAGGGCAAATACCTCAAAGGCATCTTCATCAGTTCTATCATCTCCTATGTAGAAAGGAAGGACATCACTTGATTCAGCTAGGCTTAAAGTGTCGAGTAAATATTCCAGCGCGTTACCCTTATTCCATTTTATAGATGGACGTACTTCCCAAACCTGTAAATGGCGCCTTACATTAGTCTTAAAATCACTTAAGTGCACAGAACAAATCAAATTCAGTCTATTCAGATGTTCTGCAGTTGAATAGCCTTTCATCTTACCATTTTACCAGTAGTAGCATGAAAGCGAGCATGTTTTTTCAGAACTTCCTTCACAGTCTTTTTTACATCAGAATGAACCTGCAATTCCCAAAGCAGTAAATCCTCAGATAAATTTGATGGTACATTTTGTTTAATCGTTGTAAAAATTCTGCATAATAATAATTAACTCTTATCTTCTGCATGAATTACCTTCTCTTCAGCTCTACGATAGTGAACGGAGATACAAAATCTGTTGTGTTCCACTGTCACCCCTTTCAACTCCTTAGTTGCCTTTTCGAGCTCATCATATATCTATTACGACAATCAAACGAAAGATTCCATTAAGATATTATGTCATGAAAAATAACATCCTGCATAATGATTATGGCTTATGTTTATCAGATTTCTTTACAAGAAACTGCCTAATCATTAGCTTACCTTTTCGATTTCAGGCAAGAATTCTTGAGCAGGTTGAAAGATTACAGAGTTATCCTACATTAGTCCATAAGAAAGGTCAATTTATGGTAAACTTTTGTATTGAATACAATTATGTATTAAATAAAAGAGGAGGGCTACAAAAAACCTTTTCGACAGCAACTGGAGGCTGGTAATTGTAGTCACCGGACTTATGCTTCCTTGGCGGAGCCATGATATCCATACCATGGCTCCCGGCATAATACACTTCATCTAATTTAACAAAGCCATGCACCTAACAGAAATGTTAGAGGACTTGTATTAGCAACACTCACACTCTATAGAAGTTTTAGGCACCAGAACATTATATCAAAACAGGGAAAATGATGAAACTAAAAATAGATGAACTTACCTTATCTCGGCTTCTTCCACTGATAATTGCTGTTGGAAAGCACCCAGCAACTTCACGTAATGCTGCTCTCATCTGCACGATAAACACGATACACCCATATCAGAAAATTAACAGTAAGATATCTCATAATCTCACTAAATAAAATGCTTAGTGCATGCTGCATAGGAAGATTATTGTTTACCGCATCAGACATGAAGGCTAACTCAGGATCATTAACAATGGGGGAGAGAGTCCCATCATAGTCTAAAAACATAACGATCTTCTTTCCCTTCGCTGTGTTCATCAATTCCTCAAATGAATTCAATGCCGAGGGATGATCACTCTACAAAAACAATGAGACAGATTATAATACATAAAACACATTACTAAAAAAAATGAGAATGATTCAGAAGAAAACTTTCTGGATTTTCTACTTACCAACCACTCTTCATATGTTTCTTCAGCATTTGGTGTTATCACCTTCTGTTCACATGGTTCAGGTGTCACCATGCTACTCCTTTCATATCGTACATTCGATGCAAATCCATGAGATTGTGAACTCGAGGGATGTTTGAAAATCCCTATTGCATTGAACAACTTGTTCAGCTTGCTTCTCATCATCTAAGTTCATAAATCAATTGAGAAAAAAAAAAAAAAAAAAAGTCAGGATTTAGCAAGTCTTTCATCTAGGAAAGGTCACAAGCCCAAAAGGTCTATAATGTCAGGCTATATATGAAACATAAAAAGCGAGTAACACCACGCAATCGTTACCTTAAACAAACTTGCTAGCTGATAATTAACACTAGAAGGTACAAGTTTTGAACCTGAAGCTGAATTTGCAGTTGATGTAAGAATTTTGAATAAAGATGAAAATCTACAAGAATACCCTTATTAACCAATCACATGAAGTCATGAAGTTTAAAGACAAATTTATGGATTAGCAAGTCACAAACTGACAAGCAAGCTGGCCTAATAATATTTTATTCACATTTTCCTCAAAAATTTGGGATCATGAAAGCTCTGTTAGCTTTAATTAATTATAGGCTCCTAAGTTTAACAAAAAAAAAAAAATGTTCTCTGGCACTACTGTCGAAAACAAACCTTAGAAAAGGAAAGATTACTGCATAACACACCACCTGACCCAATTTTTAACCAATCGTACTAGCACCATGATGAAAATCTAGTGTAATCATGTTTGTTAGCAGGTACAATCGACTGATCGAGAATAATAGAGCTTTAAACATTATATTGTTCACCTAGTCAGTTATTCGAGTCTGGGACGTTTGCAAATAAGCTGATCAAGGAATATGGACCAAAACATGCACTGGGTAAGTGACAAGAATCAACCAAATGTTGTTGCTTTCTCTTTTTTGGTTTGAAAAGAAGGCAAAAGGTTAATGGATCATTCAATCTCCAACTTAGGAAACAAAACTCCTAGCCACTAAACATTGTTTGATTTCGAATTATTTTGGTTTATAGAATGTACGTACCTAAAGCATGGTTCCATAATTAATAATCATTGAGATTATTAATTAAATCACTTATTCGAGTGATAAGAGACAGAAGTTATTTTAAAACAAGTTAAACAACCTCTGAATTGGCTTTTCAAACTCATGAAAAGCCTTTATAAAAAAAAAAAATGACGAATCATGAAAAGCCAAGAAGCATGTATTCCCTATCTGCGAAAAGAATACAATCTCTAATCCTAGTAAAAATCTCAGTTATACAGAATCTTAAATGGATATGCAGTCCAAATTATTAGGCAATCGATCATGGTGAAAATCCGAGAAATCTGCTACAACTGCCAATTAAAGAACTCGATTCATCTGACATTCCGAATAAATTAACATAAACTGACAGCATTTGCACTTCAGAAACTGATATCATCTGACAGCGCAGACAGTTTAAGTAAAAATTAATGATTTAGATCCACCTTGGGTTTCTAGACTCCAAAATCACAGAAACTCACACATATGGAAACAGATTATCACCTGCGCCGCTTATTATATAGTATAAGATAATTAATTAAAACTCTACCCCAACTAACCATAATTTAAGTATAGTATTGGCAGAAAACCTTAAATGAGAAAACAAAACAAGGACATGTGATCACACATGGTGAGTTATATATATCAACAGCTCTGTGATTCCCATATATCATATTCATAATAACAGATTTGGGCGCAACTAACAAGAAGTTTCAACGAAAGTGAACAGATTTCCCAAGCTTAAAATAAATGCACACATCTACGACAGCTTTATAAGTCGCCTTCAGAGTTCAGACTATGGAAAATGTGGCATCAGCTATTATGGATGCTAATGCATTATCAATAAGTTGGTTAAGAAACACAGCACCTAAGAACTGACCTCATGACAGCAATGCCTACTGACTACTAGAACTATTTTCCACATAAAACTCAGGATAACAAGTCAACGAAACGTACTGTTCTTGATAATAAAATTATACACATCTGAAGCTAATTTAGAGATGTCTGCCTTAGATTTTTCTGTTCATTGTAGTTGATTTAACTTATCAAAGCAAACGTTTCTATCCATATAGTCCTCGTCTATGACAACTAGCACATCATGTTCCCCAAAAGATTGGGAGACAACTCCCAAACTCCTTAAATCAACAACTAACAATGGACTCAAAATACCAAAACAGACTTATAATTCATGCATACATGATGATCAACACACAGAATATCAGTTCAATGTTATACTAGTAGATGCTACTACTATCTCAATCCAAACATGTACAACAGGGTCAGAGTGTGAAAATGATGTTGCAATGTAGGAAAAAATTAGAGAATAATATAAACAACAATTATGAAAGTTGGTACAAAGAAGTAGTTGGATCAATTATCATAATATATATTATGAAAAAACAAAGATTGAGATACATGAACCTGGAAGCTGGCACAAGGTTTCTCATCAAGTCAAGAAATAAATAAATGGCTTACAAGTTACAAGTGTTTATGATGATAACAGCTAAATCTTGGCTGACCCAATGGCGGATTTGCTCAAGGAGAAGCTGACAATATAATACATATAGATGATTTTCATTTTGGACTCAGAACACGGAAACATTTCATATAATAGTCGAGTCTAACTCTTAACTCTTGGACACATACCTATGCCTAACACAAGTACCTCAGCTCGAGTAACATAATTGCCAAATAAATCTAGAACAATAGTGAAGGATGAAATACCTAATGAAGCAGAGTTGAAAAAGTGTAGTGAAGTATTTGATTTTTGCAGCTCTTCAGGGAGGAGAATAGGAGATAACTAGCTAGTATCCATACAATATTCCCCAAGTATTCAAATAAAAAATAAAAAGATTAGCTACATAAAAACAAGGTTATAACATTAATCATCAAATTAAGAAGGCTTAATATATAATCATTATGCATTTAAGTTGGACTGGTTTTGACAGAAACCAAAAGTTAGGCATTTTCTAAAAGAAAGTTTAATGATATGACCACTTATTTATTTCTACATTAATAGGGAAATACCAGACTTATAGTGGAATTTAGCTAATAATTTCATGCAATTTATTCATAAAATTCCAAACTTTACCCAAAAACCATTAGCACACCCAAGACTAGCAATACCTAATTAACGAAACAAAACACTGGCAGAAATTGTATTATTGGTAGGAACTATCTAGTGAGAAAATGGGTATTTAAGCAAATTAAAATTATAATCATCATTACACTAATATAGAATATGAATATGAAGATTAGTTAGATTCATAGTACGGAGTACAACACATAATAACCAACTTTATATGATGGGTTTTTACAAATTTAATTTCACTATATCATCAAATAGTTTTCAAACTAAAGTGGCAAGATAATAATCATGTGAAAATTTAAATTGAGAAATAATTTAATTCAACTCTTTAGGAATGATATTCTTTCATATACAACTTTCATCTTTAATGAAAATGTAGCTTAATTATCAATTAAGAGGAACAAAATGAGAAATAAACTTAAATGTTGTTTCACAAAAAAAAAAAAAATAGTCTTTTTAGGCTGTTATATGACTATATCTTATATGTGCTACTGCCTATTAGTTTTGTTTGTCAATTAGCTAACTTGTCTTGTTTGGTTGGCTGGTAGTACTAGTTAAAGGACTCTAAAATTAATTAAGTGTTACCAAACAAAGCCATCATCTATTCTGCATTGAGATCAATTAATATTTATGTTACTCGGATTCTTACATTTACATCCATCAGTCCGACATGAGTAAGTATACTTCAACCCAACATATTAATTCAAAGTGTAGAATTTTTCATAAATTATCAAAATTAATTTTACACTTTGACATGTACCCGTATATGATATGTTGTCGAGTCTAATTTAATTCACACTTAATCTAGAAGAAGTAGGACATGAACCAAAAAGGGCAAGGATCCAATAGACAAAGTAATATGCCCTTTTTAACTATCTAGTACAGGAAAGAGTAACCATCAAACATGTCAATTAACTACTAACATTGCCAACCACAAACTCCAAAAAGCATAAACCAAAACTACCATTGTCACTTAAACTTGCTAATCTTAAACACCCCACCAAAAATGGACCCTACTTTTTAAAACATGAAAAAAAAAAACAACAAAGGGCCCCATGCCACGTATGAACCATCACACGTGTATCCTATGTAGCATATTTTACCACCTTTTTTTTTAACTTTCTAGTCAAACCCAAATAGTCAAAGTATAATAAAATATTATGGTATGTTATACTTATTTTCTACCCTTGATAATTAAAAGGTAGTTAAACATGGGTTACTTGCTCTCTAATGAAAACAACGTAAGACAAGAGAGTAAGAAGACAGATGAGTCACGTGTCAATGACATAAAGGATGGTTTAAGAAGTTGGTTAATTAGGATAATACGATTAATGTAAATGCGACACATAAATTTACCCTCTTTTAAAGGCAGTATGTAGATTGAAATCCTTAAATCATGCATCAATACAATTAAGATAAATTCTTCATTCCAATGAAGATATACCTTTTATGTCCGGAACAAAGTATTTCGAAAAAGAATTCTAAGAGAAAAAGGTCAACAATAATGTGAGAGACAAGGATTATCTCAGGGGTCTTGTGAGTTATGACCAATTGGCTAGTGCTGTGAATTAAGGGCAAGGGCAACTTTTGGAGATCTAAGATATTTAAAAGAGATAAATTAATCTAGAATAATATGACTAATAGATCACATCAAAACTATGACAACTTTGTCAAACTATATAGGTTCAAGGTACTAATCAAGAAATACACTTTTATTTTTGTAAGTAATATACAATAAATGTTGAATATTCACTTAAATGATAAAAGAATAAAGAATCGTAAAAGATACGAGTAAAAAAATAAAAGAAAAAAATAAAGTAATTTATATTGTGTATTAAGTTAGCACACATTTAATGAAACTTTTTGAAAAGTTTTCAAAAAGACTAATACAAGTAGCATTTATTAATATAAATATTTGACTTATCATTCATTTTAGACTTGTAATTAAAAATTAAAATATATGCATCCCAAAATTTATGATACTTTTGAGATATTTTAATTGGATGATTATCAAATCAATGAATTTTCATGCCTAGCTAATTTTACAGAGCATTTAAAAGAAATCTGCAATTAAACCATTTTAAAGATTTATTGATTAGGTGAATTTAATTTATTTTTTTAGGAGCTGTAATTCCAAAAATAATTTAATAATTTATTATTAGCATGTTCAACTTTTACATATCCATCGTTCATCAATAGTAAAGGACTAAAGGCATCAATAATGCATCATCAGTTACTACTTATTCTAATTTGATGACCACATAATTCCTTTGTTGACAATAAAAATAAATAATAATAAAATACACTTGTTGTAAATTATAACCTGGTTTTTTTATTCAAATAATTTACACACTCATACCTTAATAACCCTTAACAATGAGAAACTTTATTATCCATGAAATAATTTATACTCAGATTTTAATTTGTCACCTACATTTAAGCCTCACCTACATTTTAATTTGTCACTAAGAAATCGAACTATAACTCTGTCTATCTAATCTCGAACTCCATATATTAAAGGTACTAATTCATACAAGTACATTTCAAAGAAAAGTCTAATCTTTAAAACAAAATGATTAAACTCTTCAAAAATAAAAAATAAAAAATAAAAAATCATAGGATGAATAAATCAAGTACAAAGAATTTTGACTAAGATAAAAGTCAAACAATAAAAATTGGGCCCCTAAGACTTACAGTCAACATAGGACCCCAAAATCCGCCACGTGTACGGCACAACAACCTCTATACTTTTCCCGATGAATCCGAAATCTACTTAATCATCGTACCTCAACTGAAGTAACGGCCAAACAAACACTACTCTCAATTTCCTACGTCAATTACACGCGCTAAAATTTCACATAATTAATCAATTTTTATTGTATTGTGATTTCACGCGACAGAAATTCGCGTTAGAAAACCGTTTTCTCGTTGGATTCTTTCGCGGTAATTCACGATAAAAAAAAAAACAAAAATTAAAAAAAAAATCATTAATTGGTCGGCGGTTAAAAACCAACGAGAAAAGTTTCGCCATACCATACAACACCACCACCGTAATCAGCTTTTACGGTGGTGTTCGTTATCGGACGGCGAAACATCGGTTTAGAATTGAGAAAACATTCAAGAAATTAAAACAATGTGCAATTACACGAAAACATAATGGGAAAAATAAGAAGAGAGAAAAAAAAATCTTACCGGAAGTCTGAGGAAGTGATGGTTGATAATGGAGGAGAGAGAAGTTGTGAAGAGAGAGAAGTTGTGAAGAGGTGGAAAACAAGGATTTTGTGTTGAAAACGAGAGGTGGTATTTGTAGAGGTTGAGACTAATTAATTAATTAGGAGGGTTTTAGGATTTTATTAGGGTATTGCTCCTTCTAAACTAGGTGTTTAGAGAGCAACAAGGGCGAGGGTGAAAATCGATTCTAAGATCTCTTGGAATCGGGAGGGAAACTCTAACCACTTGAGCTACCCCTCACTCTCATTGCTCCTTCTAAACTAAATTAATTTATTATGGAGTAATTATTTTATGTGATATTTATTAAGTGTATCATTGGTTAATTAATTTTATTAACAAATTTGATATCCTAATTAATTTAGGTGTGAGTACTATTTATGAGTTGACACGTGTGTTTAACGTTTAAATATAGTTTTATACTCCGTACTATCTCCGTTTTTTAAAGTCTAAACTTGGCACTTGAGTATGT